AATGCAATCTCTGCCTCCCAGGTTCAAGCGATTCTCCTGACTCAGTCTCCCAAGTAGCTGTGATTACAGGTACCTACCACCACACCCAGCTATTTTTTGTATTTTTAGTAGAGATGGGGTTTCAGTATGTTGGCCAGGCTGGTCTGGATCTCCTGACCTCAGGTGACCTGTCCGTTTCAGCCTCTCAAAGTGCTGGGATTACAGGCATGAGCCACTGCACCTGGTCTCCACACATATATTTTAAAAGACAGAGCTAGGGTTGGCACCCTAAAGCATTCATTCAAATCCTTCATTCAACAAAGACTTAGTGCTTATTGTGTACTAGGTCCTGGGATATGATAATGAAAAATGAAATAGTCTAACTGATAGTTCAATTTATGTCACTGAGCTAGTAGCAAGATTCTGAAATGGAGTCATAAATCCGCTTAATAATATTATCATTTAGCCAGCATTTGTCTATTATTGCTAAAGAATAATGTAAAATTGCCATATGCCTTGCTGAAATTCAATTCAAATAACTTTTGAGCATAAACAATATGCCAATGCTGGGACTACAGAAAATAGTGAGATATGAACCTTGCTCTCAAGAAGCTCATAATTTGGAAAAAGAGATAAACTAAATCTTGGCATTCTTCCAATCTACCAAAATAGTAATTCCATGAAAATGAGTCATCCTATATTTCATTTTCTTACTCTTAGCTATATCCTGCTATAAAATTAAAATACATCTTTTCTCCCTTGGTGTTTACAAGTTCCAAGTATTTATAGACTTATGTCTCTACTTCACTGTCTCTCGGCCAAGATGAATATATTTAGCTCCCTTTCTCTTTTCCTTTTAAAGCAATTCCTCATTTTAAATTATTTTTCATGACTTTATTTAAATTCTCTATTTCTGTATAAATTCTAGGATTCAAATGACATAATTAAAATACTGATTCAGATATAAAATCAATCATAATGAAAATCATCAACCCTTATGATGATGTAACGTCTCTGTGTATGATGTCCAAAACACTGGCTTTTGTTTAAATTTTTTATTTTATACTGTAAATCTATATTTACTCTAACACATTTAATTGTATGGATTTTCCAGGTTTCTCACATCAAATGAAATTCAGAGATGATGAGCAGTCAGCTGTGACTAACAAATAGTGTAAAGCCAAATTTCTTAAAGCAACAGAAAATGAAGCATTAAGAAAAACAAAACTAGTCATTGACTACAACAGCAACACTACTCTTAAGCTCACAAAAAATAGTATTTCAAATGTCTCCACCATCCTCTTTTAAAGACCATATTCATATTTGATATACTTTTATTTCTGTATCTACTGCAGAATATATTTATGAAGTAAGCATACAGTTTAAATCTACTTCTGAAAGTACTTTGGCAAAACTATGACAATATGGAACAGATTATCAGAACTCAAGATTAGTGAATCAAGAATTGAAGAGGCTGTCACAGACTAGATTCCTGTTGGTTCAAAGTTTCTTTATCTTTTTCTTAATACATGGCCTCAATTTGTTGCCCAAGGCTGGAGTGGAGTGCAGTGGCACAATCACAGCTCACTGCAGCCTTGACCTCCTGGGCTAAAGCAGTCCTCCCACTTCAGCCTCCTGAATAGCTGAAACTACAGGCATGCACTGTCACACCCAGTTATTTTTTTATTTTTTGTAGAGATGGGGGTCTCACTATGTTGCTTATGTTGCTCAGGCTGCTCTTGAACTCCTGGGCTCAATCAATCCTCCTGCCTTGGCCTCTGAAAGTGCTGAAATTACAAACATGAGCCACCACACCCAATCAGTTGAAAATTTCAAATACTATTACTCACTTGAGGAGTTGGGTCCATTCAGTAAGTATGCGGGTAAAATATAAACCAGTGCTATACTATGTAAGAACCATATTCAGAACGCATTTCAACACTGTATTCATGCCATTGATGAGGTAATAATCATCAGTGGTGGCTTTTCCAATGGGGGAAAAAATCCATTCTGTGGCTCACAAACTGTCAGTATTTAAACAAAAAGACCCCTAAAACTCTCTAGCTCAAGCAGGCTCCAACCCATACCTTCCAAGTCCAACCTCACACTACCACAATTGAGCTTATCCGTATTTGAGCCAGCCAGAACTGCATGTCCTTTCTGAGATAATCTCAGTGCTTTATTGCCTCAGAATTTTTACATCCAAAACTCCCTTAGGTTACCCTCATCAACAAAGTCTCTATTTAAATTCTACTCATCTTTCAAAGTCCAACTCAAATGCAACCTGCTCTTTGAAACTTTCCCTTATCCCCCAATCACAAGCTCTTCTGACCTTGCATAGATTTAGTCTGTGCTTCCCATGTAGCTACAATCAATTCTCTTTTATTTATCTTATAGTATAATTGTTAGTGTGTATGTCATATTTCTTCAAGTCTCCTTGTGAAGAAGTTCTTTGATGCACTCATCTTTGTATTCTTCCCATCCCTCTGTACTTTACACATACAAGAAAACAAAAAATGTTCATTGAGGATAGTGTATTTGAATACCTGATACCCAAAATGTCACAGTACTATTCTCCCTGATACTCACTCACTGAGGAAATATTTCCTCAACACCTATTGTGTACAGGGGAAGTAACGTACAAAAAGAGTCAGACATAGACCTTGCTCTCTCAAGAAGTTTACAGGCTAGGAGATGCTCTAAGAGTTCTCTAAAACTGCTATAATACTAATAGATAAATGCCGTAAGTAAAGATGCAATACAACAGGAACCAACAACAAGGAGAGATTCGTTCCAAGTAGACATGGATATGAGGTTAAGTTTTCATTAGCATTTGTGCTGGACCCTGAAAGACAGATTGTATTTGAATATGTTGAGACAGGGTTAAGTGGTTTTAAGATAGGGGAAATAAAAGCCATTAAGGCAGGAAATCCCAGGAGGAGACAGAAAACAATCCATAGTTCAGGAGTAAAGTATACATGAAAGATGACAGGGGTAGAGAAAAATTTTAAAGGCAGTTAAAGCTATACTTGGTAAAACTCTGAAAGCCAAATAAGAAAGTAGAGATTTAGTCTGTAAGCAACAAGGAACTATTTCAAAGTTCTTGAGCAGGACCTGAATAACTGGTCAGAGGGTCCAAAGTGGATTGGAAGGGAAAGAGATTGTTGACAACAGACAAGTATAGAGAGTAGTATCACAATGAAAGAAAGAGATAATAAAAGCCTGAACTAAGAATGAGGACTAGAGATGAAAATAGATGAATGCGAGGCATATTTTAGAAATGACACTGAAAGAACTTGACAAGTTCTGGATGTGGAGTGCAAAGAAGGGTCTGCAAAGAGGTAAAAGAAGTTTCTAAGCTAGGAGGAGGGTGGTGCCCTAACAAAAAGAGAGGACACTAAAGCAGCAGCAAATCTGAATGGGAGAAAACTGAGTCCTGGGCATACTAAATTTTAGTATCAGTAGACATCCAGGTGACAGTGTCACGAATAAAATGTGTTAAGCTATGCTATTTAGAACAAAATACAGAATTTTATGAAACAAGAGAGAGGAGCTCAGATAAGTTAATCTCTAATAAAAGATTTTGTTCAATCATTCAAACACAAACACAACCTCAAAAATATAACCTCCATAAGTTTCATTAAATACACTGCCTATTAAATCTAAAAGCCCATTTATGAAGGAGGTCTTCTTATGATCTGGATCAACATCATGTACCCAATAATCTTTTTTTTTTGAGATAGGGTCTGGTTCAGTTGCCCAGGCTCAAACCATCCTCCCACCTCAGCCTTCCAAGTAGCTGGGACTGCAGGAGTGCACCACCATGCCCCGCTAATTTTTATATTGTTTGTAGAGATGGGGTTTTACCATGTTGCCCGGGCTGGTGTCAAAGTCCTGAGCTCAAGTGATCCACCCACCTCAGCCTTCCAAAGTGTTGGGACTACAGGCATGAGCATCACACCCAGCCCAATAATCACTTTAAAACATGCTGATTCATAGTTAATAGTAAAGTGGACATGTGGAAGCCTCAAAGAATCTTAGTTAAAAATTATAAGGAGACATGCTTCCATTAATATAGCAAATACATCTTTTATGGCCACTATCACTTGACCCCAATTTATACAATGTCACAGCAAGACATGGTCAAGTCAGGTGAGTAGCCTTGACTGACAAGGTCCCAGAGGATACTAACTAGATCCTTTAGACAATAAACACCTCTCATCATTAATAAAATAAAATTTACCTAGATGTATCCCTACCATATCCTGAGAATTCTCAAAAGCCTAAGAAACAAAAGATCATGAAATCACTTTGTGGGGGCAAAATAAAACCTCCAATGATAAACTGAAGAGAAAAATGAGGACTGCAGCTATTTTATAACCATATCTTAAGAACAAACAAAAGAAACTTCATCAACATAAACTAAAATGACAACAATGTGAAGATGAATATCTAGCAATATAATTTGATATCAGTAAATGTTTATTAAATGTATAGTGAAAAAGTAAAATAAAATGATAAATTGCAGCCAATTTGCCTAATAAGCATATTCAACTTGTTATATTTATTTATTCATCTGTTTATTAATATTGATAACAACATTCTTTTTACCAGGTGCAATGTCATTATTTCAGTTTAGAACATAATGGAAAGAAAAATGAGAACTCAATATTAATAATGTTTTTACTAATGATGAGCAATAATATGAAGGAAAACTTGGATTGAAATGTATTGTTTCACATGTGACTACTCCATCAAAACTGTACAGTAATCATTTGTTAAAAATGACACTGATATTTTACAGCTATGCGTAAATATAATGGAATGATATACACCAAATGTTACTAGTGTTAATCTTTTGATTATAGGTTTATGGGTGATTTTTATCTTCTTTTTTGCTTATGTATATCTTCAAGTTTTTCTATAATTAATGTTTTATTATAATGGTACCAAGAAGAAAGTATATTTTTTAAAAGAGGAGGGAAAAACATATTGACTAATTTAAGAGAAAAAATACTTACCAAATCTCTGTGAAGCACCCAATTTGCATGGAGGTAATGAATACCATCAAGAATCTGGTAAAGTAATGATTTAACCATAGATCTTGGCAACTGCATGGGCTTTTTATTGGCTTTTGACGCACGGTGAAACTTAATAATATGCTAAAAATTAAAAAAAAACATAGTATAGTCTTTGATAATATCTTTGTCAAAAAAACACAATCAATGCTATAAAAATGCTCTATATTTTAAAATTACTTATTAAAGGCCAATAATGACACAAAGAAAAAAATTTGAATAATAAGTTCAACCAAAGCTGAATCTATTTTGAGGGTGAATGTGACTGTGTTAATGAGGGGTTATAATGACTAAATTTACTGAAACCATTACGATTTTCATTAAATAGGACTAAAAGGTAAGAAGAACTGATATTGAAACAGCTGCCTACAAAAAATATTTATATTCCTTACTCATAGAATGAAAGATTAAAAAAAGAAAGAAAAACTGTAAATCTTTACTATTCTATAAAAAGCACTTAGTACATCTGGATAGCATCACTGATCAGGTGTATATTTTAATTATTGGAAAAGTTCCATCTTTGTTTGGCACAGAATAAATTTGAATATATTCCTGGGAATTAATATTAAATATGAAATTGCTAAAAAGGAGAAGAGGGAAAAAATGGGAAATTCAATCCCACTGAAATACATACAACTGGATCATCATATTCAAATTTTTATATCCATTTGTTATATTGTGGGTTATAAAAACACTGCACTAAATGGAAAAAAATGCTACCTGCCTCCCCAGTGCTCCCACCTCTACCACCTCCATCCCTACCCTACTCCTGCCTCTGTCCAAGACACAAAATGGACACTGAAGGCCATCAAAACTCTCCAGAAACAATACTGATGAAGTTGTTAACAGTGCTCCAATAACTTTAAAATCACCAAATGGTGCTGGCCACCACAGTGGCTTGCAGAGGCTGCAGTGAGCTGAGGCCAAGATTACACCAGTGCATTCCAGCCTGGGTGACAAAGAGAGACTCTGTCTCAAAAAAAAAAAAAAAAAAAAAAAAAAAAGACCAAATGGTATATAAAATGATTAAGCTATTTATACACCTTTCTTATTTTGTTTTAAACTGTTCAGTAATAACATTGATTTAAGAAATAATAGAAAATTAGAGTTTATACTATAGCAGTGATTTCCAGTAGAAATACACTGGGAGCCACACGTATAACTTTCAACTTCTTAACAGCTATATTAAAAAAAAAAAAAAGAGGCCAGGTGTGGTGGCTCACACCTGTAATCCCAGCACTTTGGGAGGCCAAGGCAGGTGAATCACCTGAGATCAGGAGTTCAAGATCAACACAGAGAAAATTCCGTCTTTACTAAAAATACAAAATTAGCTGGGCATGGTGGCATATGCCTGTAATCCCAGCTACTCAGTAGGCTGAGGCAGGAGAATCACTTAAACCCGGGAGGCGGAGGCTGCAGTGAGCTGATATTGTGCCACTGCACTCCAACCTGGGCAAAACTCCATCTCAAAAAAAAAAAAAAAAAAAAAAAAAAAAAAAAAAAAAAAAAAAAAAAAGAAGAAGAAGAAAAAGAAGAAAGGGGTAAAATCAATGTGTGCACTTCAGATACTTCTGAAGTGAAATTTTTAAATATTATAAATACTATCTTAGTAAAATGTCAGTTTATTCCTTAAATTATTTGAAATCAACATTTATGATTATATTTATTTTAAAATATGGTGTTGGACAGTACAGTTCTACAGGACCTGACTAGTCCAATGTTCTACACCTTCTTTCATAATGCCACTGATGTTGAAAGTAAAGTACATACACTATCAAGTAAACTTTGGTTGACACATAGGGGAATAGAGAAAAATGAGGAAAATACAATGTCTATGAATATCCATGAAAAGAATTGAGAAAAACACACTGGAAGTTCTTGTCCATATCTGCTATAATGGCATACACTCTGAAAGTTTCTTTAAGACCTGAGTCTGTGTAAACTTATTCCTCACCATATTTATCTTATACAGATGACAAACCACATTATATTGAATCAAAATTTACTAGCCAGCTGTGGTCAAGCACCTGTGGTCCTAGCTACTTGGGAGGCTGAGGCAGGAAGATCACTTGAGCCCAGGAGGTCAAAGCTGCAGTGAACCATAATTGTGCCATTGCATTCCAGCCTGGGGGATAGAGCGAGACCCTGTTTCAAACAAGCAAACAAAACAGGCTGTGTGCAATGGATCATGCCTGTAATCTCAACACTTTGAGAGGCCAAAGTAGGATGATCGCTTGAGCCCAGGAATTCAAGACCAGCCTGGGCAAGATGGCAAGACCTTGTCTCTATAAAAAAACTTTGAAAAATCAGCCAGGTGTAGTGGTGCTAAATTAATTATCCATAATTTGAACTTATTGCTGGATTTGAATTTTGTTACTTTGAGCAGTTCCACAGATAAAGTGTTTAAATATTCTGATTCCTAATTTGAAAAGATAAAAATTAAGAATTTTTTGCTTCTTTCATATATTGATAAAACATCCTTAAAATTTGCAAAGCCACACATGTACTTCTGTTTGGTGCAGCCATTTTTAAATGGCAAAAGCTTCAAGAGGTTGATCTTAACTTGGAAAGAGAAACTTCACAAGTACGTACCTGGTTAAATCTGAACTACTATAAGCATCATAAAATAAAGTAATTTTCACTATACATGTTAGTAAATTGCCATTAATTACTTGCATAAAAGTATAGTCTCCCATTCATTAAAATTTTCTGAAGTAAAATTTCTAAATATTACAAATACCATCTTCTCAGTAAAATGTTAGTTTATTGCTTAAATTCTTCAAATTCAACATTTATGTTTATATTGATTTTGAAATATGGCTAACAGAGCAAGCTTTCCTTTCTGTGCATTAACAATATATCTTGTACATAAATATGCTCCATACCTATATAAAATAGTCCTAGAAATACAGTGAGATTATACTTACCCACAAGTCATGCTCTGCATAATCAAACAGCAGCCATACCTTCCTGTCACTGTGAGAAAGGAACACCTTCTGCAATGCGATCACATTAGGGTGCTTCAATTCTCGCAAAAGCTGAATGCAAGAGAAAGAGAGGGGTCATTATTATGTTAGCAAGAAGGGGGAAATGATCAATGCCTTATAACTTCAAAATGAAATTTGTGAAAATTTAGAGAATACAGGTAAGCAAAATGAAAGAAAAAACACCACCCCAAATACCCCTACTCAGGGATAAGCTCTGTCAACATCCCTTTTTCTTTTTCTTGAGACAGTCTCACTCTGATGCCCAAGCTGGAGTGCAATGGCATGATCTCGGCTCACTGCAACCTCCGCCACCTGGGTTCAAGCGATTCTCCTGCCTCAGCCTCCCAAGTAGCTGGGACTACAGGCGCATGCCACCACACCCTTCTAATTTTTTGTATTTTTAGTAGAGATGGGGTTTCACCATGTTAGCCAGGGTGGTCTCAATCTCCTGACCTTGTGATCCTCCCTCCTTGGCCTCCTGAAGTGCTGGGATTACAGGCGTGACCCATGACACCCGGCCTCCAATCCTTTTTCTATGTGTATGGGTGTATTTGTTTTGTTTTGTTTTGTTTTGCTTTGCTTTGCTTTGTTTTGTTTTACTTTCTTGTCAGAGACTGCAAGCAGTAATGTGTTTTTAAAAAATAGGATTTTAAATGGTAAAATGTAAAACAGTAAACAAAAGTAAATCACATCATTAAATAATTAATTACATTTTTGTACATGCATCTTTTTTTTTAGAGAAATTGTTCCTTGAGAAGCAGGAATCATGTATTAATACTGCTTATATCTACCCTGGCACAGTATTAGTACTCAAGAAATATGTGACAAAACAAGGACAAATATTTAACAATCCCTATACTTATCCATCCCTAGAGTGTGTGGTTGAGAGTTTTTTAAAGAGTAGTGAGTATAAGGGAATGATGTCATGCCCACTTATAAAAATTGAAGTTAAGAACAGGTCTTATAAATAGAAAAAAAGGAATAGGCCTTAACAAAGTAAAAGCTTTAAGCTGGACTCTGACGATGTGGAGGAAAGATACACCAGAGCAGCAGGCGGAGATAGCACTTTGCACATAACAGACAGTTGCCTGATAAAATATTTAGCAACAATGACATCATTGCTCAAGGTAAAAGCCTTAGAAATATGCCTGCCTCAGGCTGTCCTTAGCCAGGGTTCAGAATTCATAGGTAAAGAGAAACATACTCAATTTAATAAATATTTTGAATACCTTTTAAATGTAAAGCTCTGTGGAAGACACAAAAAGGGAAACAGAAAACTTCCCTTGAATATTTTCTATGTGTAAGATGATTACATACAAATGTTCTTCTCTCACTGAATCCTTAGAACAATTTTATGATGCACCATAGAACCCAAGGCTACATGTGATAAAAATAACCTGACCAAAGTCAAACAGAAAAGAGAAAGGGTTTGTACTTAAATAGATCTTCCTGATTGCAAAGTCCATGCTTTTTCTACTACAGCTAAAATTCACGTCTTCAATTTCCACGGTGTGGTAAGGAAGACAGACCTATAAATAGAACAACGAGGCAGAGAAAAATAAACCGCTTACCCATTCTAGTAACTTTAGTAGCTTTTTTTTTTTTTTTTTTTTTTTNTTTTTGAGACAGAGTCTTGTTCTGTTGCCCAGGCTAGAGTGCAATGGCATGATCTCAGCTCATTGCAACCTCTGCCTCCAAGATTCAAGCGATTCTCCTGCCTCTGCCTCCCGAGTAGCTGGGTTTACAGGTGTGCGCCACCAAATCCAGATAATCTTTGTATTTTTAGTAGAGACGGGGTTTCTCCATGTTGGCCAGGCTGGCCTCGAACTGCTGACCTCAGGTGATCCACCCGCCTTGGCCTCCCAAAGTGCTGAGATTACAGGTGTGAGCCACTGTGCCAGCCAATTTTAATAAACTTAAGTAAGTAAAATGTATCTTGAGTGCCTGTGCTGAAATCATGTAAAAATCATCTGAATTCCAACTCTGGGATTTTTCTAGCCTACTTCTCACTTTCCTATTTCTTTACTATTTTCCATTGCAGATGTCCTAGTTCTTCCTCTCATTTTGGCTCTGTAGCTCAGCTCTTTCTGGTCATCTATGCTCATTCTAGGATGTGTGACTCCCTGGATTCTGCCTCTAACCTATATGCCCTGGAACATAGCTAAGAAGTTAGGAGCTAGGATGGGCTGGGCTGGGCTGGGCTGGCCCTTTAAGGCCTTCTACTTTTTGTAGCCTGCCTCAGGGATCTATCTGTATTTCCTGTTGGTCTAGGTGGGAAAGAAAAAGCCAGAAGGAAAATGATCAGGGAAGACACAACAGTCCTACTCCTTTTTGTGGGAAGAGCAATTAGGCAGTACTCAGCTGCTGTCTCTTACTACTGCCTAAGAAATATGATGCAGCCTTGCTTCTCGCTTCAGATGTAAGTGTTAGATATAATATGCTCCTAATGAATGACGTGGTAAGAGAAAGTTGCATTTTGCATGGATGCAGGGCTATATCTAGAGAATTTGCCATTTTGAACACTTCAGGCTCTCTGGCTCTGGCAAGTACTGCTTTTAATGACCCCATTGCCGTGGCCAGCCTTTAAGCACTTAGACCCTGGTAGGAGACCTCACCCTAGGCACAATGACTGTCTCCTCTCTGACTCCTCGATATTGATGAACTTAGAGTTTGCCTTTATTCCCTACACAAAATACATTCTCTTTGCAGCCTGAAGTAGATGGGAAAGCAGAACTTCACTTCTGCATCTAAACCAGGCTCTTGAAACACTCAACAGTGGCACACAGATCCCTGATTCCTGGACCTCGCTTGTCTGGGAAAGTGGATGTCACAGTAGCAATATTTAATCAACACCTTTAAAAAAACTACATTCTCTGTGACTTCCAATTGTTGACCCCTCTAGAATAAATTCATTTTAAGTCCTCTGTTAAAAAATTATTTTGACTAGATAGCACATTTATATGGTTCAAAAATCAAAAGTACACACAAGGATATGTATTGAAATGTCTCACCACAACTCCCCTTGCCTCCCTGGAGGTAACAACTTTTATTAATTGCTTATTTATCCTTGTAATGTTTCTTACTACAAATAAAAATATGAATATATATTTTATCCTCCATTGTTTACACAAAAGGTAGCATAATATACACACTGCTCTTCACTTTTTTTTTTAATTACCCTTACTCTATCTTGGAAATCTCTCAATATTAGGACAATATCAATATTAGAAATACTTCTTTCAGGTGAGAAGTGACTGAGCAACAAAAGAAATTAAAGAAAAAATAAAAATAAACTCTCTTTTTTTTATAGTAGCATGGTATTTCTAGATCACCTTTTTTATTGTGGTAAAATATATACACAATATAAAATTTACCATTTCAACCATTTCTAAATATACTAAATACTGTATACTTAGTATACTTACTTAATCACGCTACTTATACCAGTTCAGCAGGATTAAGTACGACCATCATCATACTGTATATTTCCAGAACATTTTCATCAACCCAAAATGAAGATCTATATCATTAAACAATATCTCCAGGTTGCCCCTCCCCCCAGCTCCTGATAACCATTATCCTAATTTATGACTATGAATTTGAATGTTTTTGGTATGTAGCTCAAAATAACACTATCTGCTTGTTTGTTTCTGCCTTTTATAACATAATATAATGTCTTCAAGGTTCATCTATGTTTGTAGCATGCACGAGAATTTCATTCCTATTGAAAGCTGAATACTATTACATTGTATGTATAGACCACATTTCATTTGTCCATTTGTCCCTCAATAAACATTTAGGTTGTTTCTACCATTTGGTTATTATGAATAATGTTCCTCCAAATATTGGTGTATAAATAACCATTTGAATCCCTACTTTCAATTCCTTTATACATATACCCAGAAGTGAAATTGCCAGATCCTATGGTAATTCTATGTTTAATTTTTTGAGGAACCACTATATAGGTCACTTTTGTAAAACAAACAAACAAAGACTTTTTTTGTAGAGATAGAGTCTCACTATGTTGTCCAGGCTGGTCTCGAACTCCTCACCTTAAGCAATCCTCCCACTTCAGTCTCCCAGAGTCCTGGGATTAGAGGTGTAAGCCACTGCACCTGACCTAGGTCTTCTTTCAATATGTCATAAAAATAGTTATTTCATTGCTTCACAAATACTGTGTTTTTCATGAGTAGAAGGTTTTGTGGCAACCCTGCGTCAACCAAGCCTACTGGCACCATCTTTCCAACAGCATGAAGCTCATCTAATGTCGCTGTGTCACATTTTGGTAATTTGTACAACATTTAAAACCTTTTCAGTATTGGTACATCTGTTACAGTGATCTGTGATCAGTGATCTTTGATGTCACTACTGTAATTATTTTGGAGTACCACAAATCATACCCACATAAGATGGCAAGCTTAACCTATAAACGTTGTGTGTGTTCTGACTGCCTCACCCCCCGGCTGTTCCCCCATCTTTCTCCCTCTCTTCAGGCCTCTCTATTGTCTGAGAAACAACAATATTGAAATCAGGCCCATTAAGAAAACCACAATGGCCTCTAACCTTTTAAGTGAAAGGAAGAATCTCACATATCTCTTGATTTAAATCGAAAGCCAGAATGATTGAGCTTACTGAAGAAGGCATGCCAAAAGTTAAAACAAGCTGAAAGCTAGCCCTCTTGCACCAGTTAGCCAAGTTGTAAATGCAAAGAAAAAGTTTTGAAGGAATTTAAAAGTTCTATTTTGTTGAACACACAAATGATAAAAAAGCAAACAGCCTTATTGTGGATATGGAGAAAGTTTTAGTGGTCTGGATAGAAGATCAAACTAGCTGCAACATTACCTTAAAACAAAGCCCAATCCAGAGCAAGGCCCTAACTCTCTTCAATCTGTGAAGGCTGAGAGAGGTGAGGAAGCTGCAGAAGAAAAGGCTGAAGTTAACAGAGGTTGGTTCATGAGGCTTAAGAAAAGAAGTCGCCTCTATAACATAAAAGTGCAAGGTGATCCATCAAGTCATCCAAAATATGTAGCTAAGATCACTGATGAAGGTGG